GACGCGCCACGTCGTATTTCCACGTGTCACGTATCTGTTGTCGGCGACCTGAAAGACATATTAATACCCAAGTTTTTCCTCCTTTCGACTAAGGTCGAAACATTCCCAACCAAAAAGCCCCCAATATTCTCATCATTGTCCAGCTTCTGTGTTTCTTTGATTTACATCTCTCTTCTCAATCATGCGATAACAAAACATTTATTTACAGGGGCAGATGAGGTATGAATATCTACGTAACTCACAGTCTTTACATACATTAGCTTTAAAACATTTGCCTTTATGTTTCCGGGCACATTTCAGACAATGGCCGTTGCTTTCAATCAAATGAAGTCTTTTGATCTTGCTCAAAGGACAGTTACGGACAAGGTGGGGATCATAGCAGATGAAACATTTCTGTTCGTGTACTTCAGCAGAGGGTACGGTAGCGATGTTTTCTAATTTGATGATACGGTGTTGCATTGTTCCCAAGTCCATGAGTTCGATCTTCCTCAATCTTTCGTTCAGATTTGCTAGAAGTTGGTCAACTTGTCTCAGCTTGGCATTCAGTTCATCGTCAGATTCGACTGTTTCGGCATTGACTTCCATATTCAGATTGTTCAACTCGAAATCCAGAAGGGTTTCTCGCTCAAGGGCAATTTTCTGTAACTTCATTAGCTTCGTTAGTTCATCTTGGAGTTACCTCGTCAGCATTCATCTTTCACGTTGAGTTGGATGTGAACGATACTGACGAGAATCTCTTCTATATATACCCTATTCCGGTGCGGAAATTAACATAATTGGTCATTATGTGACACGTGTCACCCTCCGGCGAGCAAAAAGCCGCTTTTGATCTTGTCTCTATGCTAATTCGTCAGTTACGATTCAAATGTTCAATTCACATCTTTATGATATGCTAATGAGTGTTTACTAACATTCACTGATTTTATGCTAATTTGTGTCACCAGTCTTGACATGCACTATGCTAATTTACTGCACTAATCTCTACTCCTACTATATTCTAATTGATCAATATTACACCTCAATGATGTTTTCATGACTAAAAATATCTACTATAGCTTTTCTTGGGAATATCTCTGAGTCTTTCTTCCCATGCTCCATTAAAACCTCTTACTTCGTGTTTTCCCAAATTTCTCTCTTTGATAGAAGATATATCTTTCCTATGTGTTTCATGCTGAACTGTACTGTTTTGTACTGTATTGAGTTCATCTTTCTCGTTCTCGTTCGTTTTTTTCTGTACTGTGTGTACTGTAGCGCCTGTAAGTGTACTTTCACCCGATTCCTCGCCTATTGGTTGACCCAGTAGTAGCTCGTCTCTGATTGGCTGATTGAATACTTGCTCGTCTCTGATTGGCTGTTTGAATACTTGCTCGTCTCTGATTGGCTGTTTGTTCTGTACGTCTTTTCCAATATGAACACTTGTGGATACGGTATCCTGTTGATCCAGTTCAAGAGGAATCAAGTGATTTACCGATTTTCGGAGCTTATTGTGTTCCTTATTTCTTATTATTACTGTTCTTATTTGACCGTCTTCAGAAACGATAAGCTGCTCTATTCTGGCTAAAGGCCATTTGTTTCTTTTAGTGTTGCTTTCTACGCACATTACAATGTCTCCCACTTTGGGGGTTTGTATACTGTAATTTCCACCTTTACCGAAGCGTGTATGGTTCACTCTTAGTTCTTCTATATAAATTGCTGACCAATCTTCCCAAATGTTTCTTATTATCTTGTTGTTTTTCTCCATCCATGTTTTAACATCATTCTTGTTTTCTATCAGATCTTTCCTCTCACTGTCGAGGGAGTTGTGTTTTAAGTTACTTGGGTGGTACACCTCTAAGCTTAATGGCGTTATCACTCGATCGAAACATGAGGCTATGTTAGTTAAAGGTCGATTGTTCACGATGTTCTCTACTTCACTCAGTAATGCGGCGAGCTCGTTCAGGCTAATCGCTTCTATACCTAAATTCTTCGTTAAAATTTTCTTTGTTACTCCTATCATTTTCTCGTAGAACCCTCCTTTCCATGGAGAATGGGGTGTTATAAACTTCCATCGTATTCTTCTTTCTTCTATGAAAGAATCGAGTATCTTATCTGTTTT